TTGTATTGAAAATAAATCATGTTAAATTACTTATCAATGTTTATTTTTCCCTAATATAATTTATAACAAAAAGACATGCTGTTGAAACGCTACGTAATTGCTGCATAAAGTTCAAAACCTGAAATTGTCTTTACCACGATTATGGTTTTCATTAACTTTATATCTATCGACAGGCGCTAGAGTTAAAATTCTTTGAGTACAAATTATTAAATTATTTGAGTACAAACAGTAGCCTAACCTTTTTCTCCTCAGGCGCAACACTTGATTTTAAAATTAAGTCAAGTAAGTCAAGTAGTCTAACATTTCGCGAAAGTCATAGCCCAGTGCAAGCACCAGGAATGTAATTGTTTAAAAAGCAGAGAGATCTGGATATTTTTAAACAAGATATTGATGGTCGTGATGATTGGTAAGTGTTTAGTGAGGAAGTTTAACGGGCCCTGGGGGAAAATACTGCATGGATTATGTTTTGTTGTAAGCTATAAATGCGGATCGTAGTTTAAAGTTTAACACAAAGGCTTAAGGAAATAATTTCTTGAATATTTTTATTTTTTTGTTGATTGAATCAAGTTTCAGTAAAAACATGTTAAACAATCCGCACATAGTGCAGAAATCTTTCTGTTTAAAACACTGACCCAATAGTATTAGTTAGGTAAACGCCACCCGCTAGCAACAATGCCCGCCACACCCCGAGGGTTGGGAAATGTGAATGAATTTCTGACTTCTGTCGTAACTACAATCGCTACCGGAGCACCAAGATGGATACCTACCAGCTACACTCATGGATTTTTGGCTTCAATTCTAACTCTACCAGAGCACAAGGATTTATAAATACGCCCCTGGACACAGATTTCTTGCCTCAGCCCTAACCCTACGCCCCTGGAAACAGATTTCTTGCCTCAGCCCTAACCCTACGCCCATGGCAACAGATTTCTTGCCTCAGCCCTAACCCTACGCCCCTGGACACAGATTTCTTGCGTCAGTCCTAACCCTACACCCCTGGAAACAGATTTCTTGCCTCAGTCCTAACCCTACGCCCCTGGAGATTTCTTGCCTCAGCCCTGGAAACAGATTTCTAGCGTCAGCCCTAACCCTACGCCCCTGGAAACAGATTTCTTGCCTCAGTCCTAACCCTACGCCCATGGAAACAGATTTCTCCCCTCAGCCCTAACCCTACGCCTCTGGAAACAGATTTCTTGCCTCAGTCCTAACCCTACGCCCCTGGAAACAGATTTCTCCTCTCAGCCCTAACCCTACGCCTCTGGAAACAGATTTCTCGCCTCAGTCCTAACCCTACGCCCCTGGAAACAGATTTCTCGCCTCAGCCCTAACCCTACGCCTCTGGAAACAGATTTCTCGCCTCAGTCCTAACCCTACGCCCCTGGAAACAGATTTCTTGCCTCAGTCCTAACCCTACGCCCCTGGAAACAGATTTCTTGCCTCAGTCCTAACCCTACGCCCCTGGAAACAGATTTCTAGCGTCAGTCCTAACCCTACGCCCCTGGAAACAGATTTCTCGCCTCAATCCTAACCCCACTCACTACTCATCTGTCCAGCCTTACCTACCACAGAGCCAAAAATCCACCTGGCATATCTCAGACTTTGTCCGGGTAATCTAGCTGCCAATTTCAACAAAGTCAGGGGCGCGCATGGGCTGAGTTGTTGATTTTACGGAAGAGTTGTCGCGCCATCTACTGTGGAAGGAATCCACTTAATACAATTTTTATTAAGTGGCCTTTTTTTAATGATTCAGATTCTTCTACATTATTTCTTTAATATGTATACAAGAAAATTCTAACTTTAAATAACATTTTAATTTTTTTTACAAACATTCCTACATATTCCAACTATCTGCCTTCAAGAACACATTTGTTCACGACGTATGATAAAATTTCTTCGGACTTCAAATGTAAATACTATTTTTTTTTCTTCAAGAACTAAATATGTATGCCTATATTCGGTCAAAGTCTAAATCTAAAAGATAATTTCTTTTAAAGTAATGCGTTTATAGACATTTGTAATACAAAATTACCGTTTGCGGAAAGCTCAATAAGTGAAGAGGTCTGACATTTTGCTTGCAGGAATTCTGAGGAATGAGGAGTGTGTGTGTGTGGGGGGGGGGTGGATATTGTCCGAGGTCATTCACCCTAAAAAAAACACCTTTGTAAATGTTTTTTATAAACCATTGTTATCTTTAACTTTGTTAACAAAGCCGTGTAACTCGTAGCACTTAACTGCTCGTGTAAACCCATTCTTAATTTCTGTTAAAATGTCGGTAACATCCTTTGTAATAAATGCTAAGGGATTAACATTTACAGAATGTGAAGTTTCAAGGACTCGGCAGGTAAAAAAGGAAAACGAGCAGGTGTTATAATTAAATTAAAATATTAACTATATATGTTTTTAGAACGTAGAAAATATGTTAAGCAAATTACAGACAGTCGCAAAGAATAGTAATATTATGTATAGTATCATTTATATATATATATATATATATATATATATATATATATATATATATATATATATATATATATATATATATATATATATATATATATATATATATATATAACGATAGCTCATAAGAATTTATATACTTACTTTATTGTAAAGGGTCTAGTATCATAGTTTGGTTAAAAATGGTGACTAGCTTAGTTTTTATTTTTTTTAAAAAGCAATGAAACTGGTAGGTTACACAAGAGTTAAGAACTTAGCTTTATCTTCTTATATAACGATAGCTCATAAGAATTTATATACTTAGTTTATTGTAAAGGGTCTTGTATCATAGTTTGGTTAAAAATGGTGACTAGCTTAGTTTTTATTTTTAAAAAAGCAATGAAACTGGTAGGTTACACAAGAGTTAAGAACTTAGCTTTATCTTCTTATATAACGATAGCTCATAAGAATTTATATACTTAGTTTATTGTAAAGGGTCTAGTTCCATAGTTTGGTTAAAAATGGTGACTAGCTTAGTTTTTATTTTTAAAAAAGCAATGAAACTGGTAGGTTACACAAGAGTAAAGAAGTTAGCTTTATCTTCTTATGTAACGATAGCTCATAAGAATTTATATACTTAGTTTATTGTAAAGGGTCTAGTATCATAGTTTGGTTAAAAATGGTGACTAGCTTAGTTTTTTATTTTTAAAAAAGCAATGAAACTGGTAGGTTACACAAGAGTAAAGAAGTTAACTTTATCTTCTTATCCCTCCAGCTACCGCATGTGTGCTGGAAGTATGTCTGGTGGATATTATCTTAAGAGGGTGAGCATTCAACAAGTACCGTTTCGGGCTGGGGTGGGGGGACGGTTACCTGGGGCGTTACTTGATATTTTAAAAAAATATTGTTGTAGGTAGAGTTTCATAAAATTGGGATGCTTACCGTGAGCAAGGCTGTATAGTCTTCCGTTCAGGGAGTTGTGGTGGTTTGTTTTTTACAATTCTTTTACGTCTATCTAAATATTGAAAACAATCTAGGGTATTTTTTAAAACATAAAATAGTTATTTCAACCACAATACCTAAACGGCATTAAGTCTACTAAAGAAGTGCATGGGGTTTTGTCATAAGTGGCGTCAGGCAATTTGTACTTTAATGTTAATAAACGACGCCACATGTTTCGGTTCCATCAATTGTAATACTTTTTATTTTATTTTTAATAATAGACAAACCTACCCCACCCCTCATCCTCTTTTCTCCCTCACCTCACTCTAGCACATAGTCAAAAAAGATAAGAGACAACTCTCTATGTTCGTAGCGTCATTAAAGGGCGGCAAATCAAAGGTATAAGTTGGATGTTTGTGTATCACACATATTTCATAATACCGTAGTAATAAAAGTTTATCACATAATAGTATAAAATGCATGTAGGTCATGTATTATGTGTAAAAATGCCGAAGAAAGCTTACCTATTTAGTGAGATTTCTTCCGAGATACCTCTATAATTTAAGCAGTTAACAAGGGAGAAAACTGCAAAATATGTGTTTACAATTTAAACTATGAAATATTTGTCAAAGGGGAGTAATAAAATATTTTCTAAATCCTATGTCACTGTCACTGAACTAAATTTTAAAAGAAAGGAGACATTGACATTTTTTTAAAGTTGTTCGTTTATAAATATATTTTAATGCCTATAGGATTTAACATTAAATATAACTAAAGTAAAGAAAAAAAGATTTCCTAATTTAACTTTTTTCTTAAAATTCTATGATAATGAATTGTGAAAAATAGTTGCATACCCAACAATCAATATAAAACAACAAACCATGAGTTACTTATATAATAAATTATTTATTTTTGTCAATGAAAAGACAAACTGGACAATGAAAATCCAATTGTGAAACAGGCAATGCATTATCCAACATAAAATAATTTCAAATATTGAATATTTTACTTACAACAACACATACAGGCTGATGTGGTAGAGCGGTGTCATGTAGACTTAGTATAAATCCCACTTATTAACATTTATTGTTATTTTTTATTTGGAGTGAGGTAAATTTTAATCCCAAAAACCAATACAATGACTAACCTAGAATCTTTATGATAACTTAGCGATGTGGTCTGGCTAGGAGTGACATAATGTTATGTTAAAAATGTGTAGTGAGATTATAGGGTGTTTGCGTATTTTGAACTGAAGGGTGCACAAAATGAAGTATAAGGTAAGCTAGTGTGAATTTGTTTTGACAGGCGAGCAACACAGCTAATATTCAAGAAGGTAAAATGAAGATGACAATGGGAATGAGAGAATGACAGAAGTATGAAAGTAGTGTCACATAGTGTCAGAGGTAAAGGGAGGCTGACTCAAGTGGCAGTGACAGAGACATTGAAACTGTGTAGTAATACTGAAGTGACTAATGTCTGAATGTTTCAAATCTTGTAGTCATTAGTGCTATGAAAAAAAGAACCATATCTTATGTGTAGTTTCACCTAGATATAATTGCCTGCCCCCCCCCCCCCCCCCCCCCCCCCCGTTAAGTGAATTATCAAATTTTTGTTGATCTTACTATTCTTACCCTCATGACAATGCCCTTGGATCGTGTCTAAAAAAAATTGGCAGTGAAGTTCAAAACATTAACCCCTGCAATCTCTACATGACCCTTACCAATTAAGACTGGTAAACTCTACTTCATCTGCATAAAAAATACTTATATTTAAGGCAAAAAATGTGTGTTAATTCAACAAGCTTTAAACCAACAAGTAAACTCACTGTTAGTGAGAGAAACATCAGATCTAGCGCCATAATAAGCAATGGAGACAACAAACTAAACCTATTGTACAACTAGAGCAATATAACATTGTTTAATCAGTGAAGTCATTGTGTTGACGGCTACCCAACTTCAACTTCATAAACAAACTTAAATCAAACTGATAAAAAAATTCGTGAATGACTGAAATAAAATAACCTTATTTAAAATATTTCAGGTCTTTGTACTATTCTATGAAATGATGAACACTGCTAACAGTCCCTCCAATCTCATTTAATCATCCTCTGGCATATATTTTGGGTTGGGCTTAACATATTCTTCCTTGTAAAGTGTCAAATGAAATCTGTTGGTGAATAAAATAAAATGACAGTCATTTTCCTTTAATTATAGGGTAAGTATTAAAAGATATTATATGGTATGATATTGTTACATAAAAACTTACTTCTCGAAATAGTATGCAAAAACATAAGCTATTGAGCAGATAATGCAGTAAAACAGTCCAGCTACACTAGCTTGTCTGCAAAGAAAATATTTAAAACTTGATTTATTAAAAAAAGAAGAAAGCATGAAACAGCAGTGGGCCTACACAGCTAACTCAAGTTGTGTATTATGGTGGCAAATATTTAGGCAACATTGTTAATTATGAAGGAGACTGCACCGCTGAAATCAAAACAAGCATCTCTTAAACCAAGCAAAGAAAATCTCCCCTAAGACAAAATGGAGACTTTTAAAAAATAATGTCCTTAGCTACAGTAGGGCAGACATTGCTGGAAAGTAACAACTGCCACTAGCTGATCACTGGACTCTTTCCATGCTAAGTGCCTGGGAAGGATAAAAAGCATCCACAGGCCTAACACCATCTCCAATGATAGACTACTAGGAGAGATGGAAATAGAAGCAGTTTCCAAAATAACCAAAAAAGGAAGATGGTGTTGGCCAAGGGAGATGTGGAGGGGCACAGTGGGGAAGCAGCTGGCAGATGCAAAACTGTCTTGGGGAACTGCCAGGAAAATCGCAGGAGACTGACAAAATTGGAGGGGGCTTTCTGGGTTTGCCCCATGTGTCTTGGACATTAAAGGTAAAAGATGATGATGGTTGCAAAAATAGTTTTGACCATTTTAGAATACTATCATGTGTAGGAATAGTAGGACTAAATTTCTTTATGTAGACAAAACAATACCTTAACTCAAGAAGCAACTTACATAAGAGAATAACCTATGAAGCACACAACGGTTGCAGTTCCTGATGGATGATAATAAGGATCAGACGGTGGGTGTTTGTCTTCCTTAGTTCCTATCCTGAAATATTTACCTATCAAAGGGAATGAAAAATTTTTAAGCATCTGTTATCAGTTTAAAGCAGGAGTTCTATTGTAGATGTTTAGTATAACTCATTCCCCACCAACTGTAATAAAGCACCACAGAAATAAACAAGACATTTATTTGAAAGCATTCATTAAAATCAAATACAAAAATCAGCAATTTTTAAGAACCTAATGTACATTACTTTTAATTAATTAAATAGTTATCTAGAAGGATAGAAGGACTGAATGTTAACTATTCCTTGACATGAGTTCTTGCAGGGTTTTTTTACACTGGAGGCCACTGTTCATCACAACACAATTACATTGCTGGGGGAAACTACATTGCCAGGGAACTTTCTAACTTTGATCAATTCATTTTTGCTTCATGAACTAAAGATAAAAGTTTCATTTTTTGTCAATTTAAAAATTTTATCTTTAGGTGACCAGTTCAGTTTAAAAATTTAACAAATCATTTTGAAGAATATAATGCCATTTTCAAACCTAACCAAACACCTTAATTTTTTTTGTTTAGTTCTAACTTTGACCAAGCTGCTCCAATTTCAACTATCTTGTTCATATTTTGGAAACTCTTAGGGCTGTATGAAATAATGCTTTATGCACTTTATAATGAACACTATGGTTTATTGTATTTAAAATATTAGGGCTTTATAATTAAAATATGTAGACCTATAATAGGGTAAAAATGCTATTTAAGTTGTATAAAATAACAATGTAAAATAAGCAATAGATAATTATCTATATTATAAAATATGTTTATTATATTATTCTGCTTACCCAAGCAAACATAAGGAAATGCATACAGAAAAAAAATACAAACCTCCCATTACAGCAACAAAGCCATATTTTCTGTAGGTGTGTATTTTGATGCACAAGCCAGCTATCAAAAACAAGTAGCCCAAATAAAGTACACTGTTTCTTGAAAGATCAGGCGTACGTGGATGACTAGATATTACTTGAGTGACTCTGTGAAACAAATATTGATTTGTTAAATGTTAGCTACGATCTATAATTATTTCCAACAATGTTTGAAGTTCCCATACAGGTCTGGTGGCTCACAGGTGAAGTAGAGTTCATCTGTTTTTTTCTGTATAGGAAGGCATAGTGTGGTCAACACTGTGCCCAGCCGCCTTTACTTTCCCTAATGTAAGTTCAGGTACCCATCAGAGTTGGGTTGACCTGAACTCAACTTTTGGGTTAACAGTCAATTGCTCTACCCTGCACCCACACCAACAATTTAACAATATGGCAAGGTACTAGTATGCAAGATTTATAAAAAGAGAATAAATAATTGTACAGAAAAACTAAAGCAATAATTTTTTTTTTGTTGAAATAACATTTTCTTGTAGACATGTCTGTTCTGGTTAAATAAATGAATATTTGAATCAGTTGGATTTCTCTTATATTATAATCAGGTTATAAATGTATGTTTATTTTAGTTGCATTATTCAGGTTTGAAAATTATGTAAATCAGTTATATACTTACTTAAAGACAGTCCACAGTGTGAAAAGGTTAGATGCCAAGCAATACAGAAAAAATGAAACAGTTTTCCCAACATATTTAGAGATGATCCTATGTTTGCTTTCATTAACACCAATCTGTAAGTAGAGTATGAAAGAAATCATATTCAAAATTCAAATCTGTCATTTCATGATTTAATACAATAAAATAATTAAAGTAAACATGTTTTCTTTACCACTGGTTTAAAAAAAGGCTCCACATAGATCAGCAAAGCAGTAAACCAAAAATGGAAGCTGCTTAAATCAATATCGACTTTTGTAGGCATTTTAAGCTGAAAAACAAAGATTTAAAATTCAAATAAAACAAATTAAAGCAGATTTATTTGGTAACAACAGTAAAATTGAAAAGATTGAGAAAAAGATTTTCATATTCGGATAAAAAGAATTAGCTAATCCAGTGTTTATGCATATTTAGTGAAAATCCAATTCATACCATGCTAAGATTGATGGATGCTGTACCTGCATCACAGCACCCTCTGAATAGCCTTTCCTCCATATCCATTACTTAAATTATATACATGCTGCACTTTATTAACTTATTAATGTTGATGGTGTGGTAACACTAGATTTATTTTGGTTTAAAATAATAATTGAGAAATTTTAGTATCTTTGTTATACTCAAGGGCTCCTAAAAATACAAAGTTTTATAAATTAGGCCCATACATAGAATCTAGATGTTCATATCAAACTAAGGTCATAAAAATATATCTGTTTACATTTAGTATACTTTGTACAGCCTAAATATTTCCATTAATTGAAACTGGAATTTTTTTATCAGTGTTAATTACAAAACATTTTTTTTAATTTCTAATCAGCAATAAAAAAAAAAGAGAAATACAACAGCAAATACGGAACAAATTACAAATATAAACTAACAAAAATAATACTGCAACAATTTCAAATTGTAGATTTAATACAAACCGTTAAATTGTTCAAATATTTTCCTGAAAGAATAGTACAATATCATTTTTAACTTCTTTTTAATTATTAAGCTAGTTTAGGGAAATAATTATAGATTATAATCATTAGACACAGTCTATAGATCTTGTTAAGAAGTTTAGTTTATTAAATTATTAGACCCTAGGCCTATGCCAACCCTACACCTGGCCTAGGTCTAGAACCTAAACAAATAGATCTAGAGAATCTAGATTTAGATAGATCTAAAATCTAATTAGCTTGTAGCGTTTACTACTTAACAGTTGCGCTCTTAACAGTAGCCTATATAAATAACAGTTAGTGAGTAAACACTTTGTAGCACCGCCCCTGTTTACACTTAGAAAAATTTTTAGACTCTTGGCACGACTTACTTGTACAATGTTAAATATGAAATGACTACACGGAGCAAACTGTTTACTGCCTAGCCTCACCAAGGCCCTAGGCTATGTGGAGCAAATATGCATCCGCATGCAATCTTTGAGTATGATTTTCAACTTTTAGACGTGATTACTACTCAGGTGATCAAAATGGTTGCGCATCAATCAACTTGTTTTAATGGCGTGGGTTCCTTTGAGCTCTGAGGTTTTTTTTGCACTTTTTTCTTTCTTTACTTAGTAAATAAAATCTGTTGTTGAGCTTTTGAAGGGTTACAGGTTAGGTTTAGGCTTAAGGGTTAACATTATGGCATTAGGGGCTAAGATTAGTGTTTTTTCAGACTTTTTCTCCAGGGGGGGGGGGGCATAGCCCCAAAGGGATGTCTGAAGTGAACTCACTTTAGGGACCTTAGGGAGGATTATATTAGGGTTTGACATTAGGAGATTAGGTGAATATACACATGTACATGAGGCAAAAAACATTTCCCACTGTGCATGCCTAGTTTTTTCTGCAAATTTTTCCAGGCTAAAATCAGCTTAGATTAGATCTATTTTATTTAAGATTTATAATGTCTTAGTCTTCTTAGCCTCTTAACTATAATGATAATCTAGTCTAGAGAACTAAATTAAAATTAGTAAATTACAATTCGAAGTGTCTACTCGGAAGAAGATTTTTCTCCCCAACGTCTCCACTTAGTCGACAAAAGATAGCATTGCGCATGCGCAGTGACCTATGGCTAGGGTTAGGGCTAGAATGAGGGTTAGGGGTAGGATTAGGGATAGGGTTAGGGATAGGATTAGGGCTAGGGTTAGGGATAGGATTAGGGTTAGGGATAGGATTAGGGTTGGTGTTAGAGTTCTGCGGTTGTAAACACACGCATGCGCAGTACCATCGAAAGCATCGCCGCGAAGTTAAGTCGTAGTTTCTCATCATTGCGCATGCGTATCGCATGCGTATCTTATTCCGACTAGAATCGGCCATTACAATTATCTATATATTATAGACTATATATAATTCTCTTCATGGGGACCATGCGAGACACCACCATGTAAACGCACGCCGTATTCCCCCGCTCTCTAGGCATTAGCTACCAACCGCACCTCCACCATTCTGGTGAGCTAAGGTTCACCCCGAATGTTTACAATCGTAGAGCTGGGTCGAATAAGTAACGGCTATTAGGGGCAGATAATTTAGCTTGTTTAAACCATTTGAAACTAAGGAGAGGTAAGAAGTCCTGCTTGATTTTTTTCATTGTCGTCCGTAAACTGTCGTCATGGACTACTGCTTTCATGGTGGTGGGGGATGGGGGGAGGGGAAATGGAAGGGAGGGTAGTGTTGAATTCACTAACTAGTAACTATGAAGAACTGAAAAGTAGAAAACAAAAAAAAAACTAAGTCTAAATAGTCTAACTAAATACTAAATTATATATATTATAATAGTTAGCGGCGTATCATGGCGTATGATGATTGATATGCAAGGGGTCAGCTCGTTTTATTTTATTATTATAATTTATAATATTAAGCCTAATTTATAATCACTAATTACTAACTAATCAGTAATTATTAAATATATACTATATACTACTATATAGGCCTATACTATATATAGCCTACCTACTATTTTATTAATTAATAGGAATAGGCCTAGCCCTAAATTAAGCTTACTGACAATTAATCAATTAAACTATCAAAAACAAAATGATTTTTTAGTGGAAAGGCACTCAAGTTTATTAGTTTAAATTACTTTAAGTAAACTACAGATAGGTCTAGACCTCTAGACTCTAGATCCCTAGTCTAGATCTAGATCTAGATCTAGCTAGACCATTTCTATTCATAATAAAAAGTAAATAAAGGCTGTCCTAATGAAAATAAGACGTCTGCTGAAACAAGGAACGGTAACTACAAAATTCTTTCAGATCAGGGCTAATAATTCAACTTTTTGTAGGCCTAATTTTGCCAAATAGGCCTATACAATTAGTTGAGACAGAAAAGAAATTTAACGCACAAGTAATCAAAGAAGCATTTGATGAAATAAAAAACAAATTATTAGATATGAAATTAGTCATCTAATATTTATACATGAATATAAATTATAGGTCTAGTGCTTAAAGCTACTATGTTTAAGAGTTAAAAACCTCATCTTGTAGTTCTGGGCACAAGTGTTTGATTAATAAAATTATCAACTGTCACTTATTTTTTTATAGTGCTGTCCATATGTGCCTTATTCTAATTTAATTTTAACATCTGTGACTTAATTGTTCTAAAATTGTCAAGCAAAACTATAAATGCATACTAGAAGCATAGGCTTATTTATTAATTGTTTAGGCCTACTATTTATTTGAATCTAGATCTATGACTATGAAAAGCTTTTAATTTTTTTAAGGTAGACTAAACCTCCTCCTCGGTAAATTAGTACTGCGTTCACGAACATGCAACTGTTTGACATTTAATAATTGTAATGTAAAAACATAAGGAAAGAAAATGCGTTAGATTTGCGTTGGGCTTCATCAAGACTATCTTTTACACAAAATTATTTTTAAAAGCGTAAGCTTCCTACCCTTAGCAACCGAATGGAATGACCCAATCACTACAACATTTCCGCCATCTTTGTTTTCCATGCCAAAACCTTGGCGGCCACTAGTTTGTGATTTTTAAAGTTCACCATTGTGTTGTTTAGCATCACATAGACCACAAACATGGTACTTTTTTCATTTTTGTCGTTCAGATTTATTCATATTTGCCTAGATCTAGATCTAGGCCTACTTACTTAAACATAATAGACAATCTAGATGGTAATCTATCGTTTTGGGTACGTAAAATCGCCCGCGACTAACTAGTAATGTGAAAAACAGGTGACTCCTTACATTTTAATAATTATTACATATTTTGAGGAGGATTTATGTTTTAAAAATACAAAAATGTTTCATTTATGTACCTGTTTTTAAACAATTGAATTAAAACTTTTCAGTAATAAATGAAGACTAGCGATGTTTCCAACAGATGCAACCATGCTCATTTACTATAGCAGCCATCTTGTTAAAGTTTTATTTTTATAGACTTAAAGCGCAAGATTCAGGCGGAAGTCACTCTATTTTATAAATGGCTGCTGTTTATATAGCAAATCTTGCTTGCAGACACTGCTGTTTAAAGTTAATTTCTGGCCTATATTGATGTATTTAGCCACGAGAAAAATGGCCCGTTGAGGAAGGGTACAACGGGCGCTAGGCTGATATTGCTGTCTCTTTTCTCTAAACTAAAACCAACCCACCCCCCCACACACCACCCCCACCCCACCCCCCACACCCCCCCCCCCACCACACACCACCCCCCTACACCACCCACACCCCCCACCCCCTCCACACACCGCCCCCCCCACCCCCCCACCCCCCCCAAAAAAAAACCATGTCTACCGTCCCATTCAACGAAATATAATTATATACTTTTTCCAGTGTCCGCCCCCTCCCAGAAAATTCTACCCCCGCCCCCGAAAATTTCAAGTACCCCCACCCCTCTCCGGGGAGGAAAAAGTCTGAAAGAAACACTGAAACCAACCCACCCCCCCACACACCATCTAGATCTAGATCTAGTATTTATTATTTTTAATACTAATATTAAATTAATAGGCCTAATAACTGTCTAATATTTATTTATTAAATTATTAAATATTATGCCTATCTAAACTTAAAACTACTTAAACTTACTTAACTATATTTCAACTATTACTTGATCTAGGCTAACTAATTAGGGCCTACTAATTAAACTTAAAATACATAGTATTACATAGTAGGCCTACTAAAATAATCATAAAAATTTTATGGGACAGCGTTGCCTAGTCTAGTAGTCTAGTCTTGTAAAGAGTTTTGACTGCCAACCCAAAAGTCTTTAGTTGGAAACCAGGTTCTAGTTCTAGGGGTGTGGGGAAATTGCGAGACGCGAAAAGCGAAATGGCGAGGCGGGAAAATGCGAAAAGGGCGCGAAAACGGTCGGTCACGTGACTTTTTTGTCTCGCATTTTACCACAACCCGATACTTACGCTGGGTGGTGTTGAAATGCGAAGATTTCTGCGAAAAATTTACCGCACCCGATTTTCAGTGGTATTTGGTCCAGACTTCAAAGACGTTTCGTTTACATTGTTAAAACTTCCGATTTTTCCGTCGCTAGACATACTGATGATTTGTCAACTCCCCCCCCCCCCCCCCCCCCCCATCTTTTGTGTCTTTGTGTCGACTTAGAATACCACCTTGTTCAAAACTGACGGAAATACCGCCGACGATATATCAACTTCTGTCTTTTGTGTGGAACGCCAAAGCCACCTGATTTACCGTCTTTGAAGATCGCTGTGCCGCCGCAAACATATTTTGTATTGTTGCATAGAAATGTGTGCCGTCACACTATAAAAAAGCAATGTTAGAAAAAGAATTTTAGACATTTTTCGCGTTTTAGAAAACTGTTTTCATAAATTGTAATAGGAATTGATTAAAATACTCTATTTTGACAGAAATTAGACAAGATTTTGGGAAAATATCTATGTTTTAAAAAAAATTCAACTGCAATTTGGAGGGGGGTTGTAGACTGAGGTGTGACGTCATTTTAGTGGGAGGGGGGGGTCTGGATTTTTGTGAAAATGTGTGATGGAGGGGAGGGGGGAAAAATCGTCATTTATGAATGACCCCTTTTAGCTATTAAATGGTAGTTTTGTCCATTGCGGACTTTATTCAGATTATCTACAGACGCACATTTTTTTCCATTATGTTCATATTTGTGTTCTGCGTTAGCACAGTATAAATGGGAGTCTAATGAACTGGGTTGGATGTACTATGTGTGAAAGATGGTGTGACGAGGTTTGTTTGATTAGTGCTAGGACTGTTTCAGAAGATTTTGTTTGTAAATTTTGTTTGTAATTAAAATTACTTAATAAAAAATAAATTACACTTTTTAGAATTGTTTATACTTTTACACTTTTTGCAAGTACAAAAATCCATAAATAGATGTTGCAGAATATCTCTCCAGCTGACAAGATTATACCAATCCACAATTACACAGTTCACGTTTGTATAAACATGAGCGGGCAAGATTTTTAAAATTAATGCCGACTGAGACGGGATTTTCCTCTCGCTAACGAGAGCGGGCGATGACAGTAGCACAGCAACAATGTTAGGATTTTTTAATAGATCTAGATCTAGATATAGATCTATCTATCTTCTTAGTATCTATCTATATATATATATATATAATAAAATCTAGATAAAAAATAACAACATACAACACTCGTGTTAAAGGGTATGGCTACATGCTAGTTTATTTTAAAACAAACAAAAAAATAATTTAAATAAATAAAGATGAAATAAGCATGAAAAAAACTTTTTTTTCGCAAAAATTGTCTCGCTATTTACCCTTAATTCCGCAGGTATGTCTCGCATTACCTTCTCGCATTTTCCCGTCTCGCCATTTCGCTTTTCGCGTCTCGCAATTTCCCCACACCCTAGTTCTAGTCAGTAGAATGTCCCTGAGTCCAGCCAGCTTTGACTGGTACCTAATAAAGCCTAATTCGTGTTAGGGAAAGTAAATGCTGCTGGGCATAGTGCTGACCACTCTATTCCTTCATATAAGTTTTCTAAATAAAAATAAATTTGATAGGCCAAAACTGCATGTTTATGGTGAAAATATGTTTCTTTAAAGTTAGCTAATGCTTGTGCATGGTAATTAGTAATATTCAATCATTTCTAAAATGTCTTGATTTATTATATTTTATTTTCAAGATTATGTGCTTAGAGTTTAACGTATATGAAAGAATGATGTTTACATAATATACTGGCATTAAAATATTAAAGGTGTAGCTTATAAAAATATGTTCTTTTAAAATTGTTTTAAAAGGCTATGGCAAGAAGAGCAGATCGCCAGGACCAGGTCAGGTACCTAAAGGAGTTGGAGAAGAATCGTCAGAGGGAGATGGACATAAAAGTTTTAGAACAAGAACGTAAAATGGCAAATTATTTTGGAGAAAACATTCAGAAAGAGGAAAAGGTACTTTTTTTTAAATTTAGATGTTTTCGTTTTAAAATTTTGAGTAACTATTCCAGATTTCAATAAAGGTTAACTCAATATTTATGTTCTCTATAAAAGGAACCTTTTTATTTTTTTTATTTTTCTACTAAAATCTAGTAAATATGGGTCATTCCTGAATGGTGGCGCAGAGTTACATCCAACCCCTCCTCCCTTTCATTATCAAACGTGCTGATCTTTTTAAACATTCTAAAATGTTGTTTTTTTTGTTGTTTTTTACACAAGCCCCACAGTTAGTACCCAAATAACCATCCAGTGGACACATCAACCCACCCAGATAGCACTAGTTTTGTAAAAAATTTGTTTTTTTGATATTCTAAATGTTGGATAGTAAACATAAAGCCATACTAGCACTCCTTAACCAATTGCTGCATTTTAACACAAGGACTTTCACTAGGGATAACCATGATGTAGGGCAAGTTCCTATGTTACTTATTGTGTAAACTGTAGGCTTTAAAGAGATGCTTAAAATACATTTTAATAATTATAAATCTGTTGCCCACAGCTACAACAGAAGAGGAGCTTAAGACAACAGTTAATAATGAATAAAGAAATTGAAATGAATGATGCTATCTTAAAGGTAAGTGTTTATATTTCTTTGTTTTTACATTATACATTTTTATCTTCTTGTTTATTTCAGACCAGTTTGTTAAAAGTAATCAACAAGTAAAGTAATGTGCAATATGTATAGTATATATTTTTATATAATACTTGTTGTTTGAGTAGGAGGCAGTGTTTTATATATGCGATATAGAATAGGTGGAATGGCGATGCCTATGGGTAGAGGGCTTTACTGCTATCCTGTTTGGAGTTCGAAGCCTGGTTCAAATGAGTAGAATGTCCCTTAGTCCACCCAGCTATAATGGGTACCTAACTAACATTAGAGAAATTAAAGGTCGCTGGGCATAGTGCTGACCGCACTATCCCTTCATATGCTGAGGTCACAGAAACTGGTAAACTTTACTTCACCTGCCCTATGAACCATTAGGTTCAAAGTGGGAACTTTACTTATATAACAAATTTATGGTCTTGTGTATGAAAGTTTTTTTTTTGTCTCCAAGAATAAAATGTCATGAACCATTTAGTATCAGGCCTATGTTCTTTGAGTTGCTCCTTCTATTGTCTTATGTTGCACACTTGGTCTTTGAGGTGCTCCTTCTATTGTCTTATGTTGTACACTTGGTCTTTGAGTTGCTCCTTCTATTGTCTTATGTTGTACACTTGGTCTTTGAGTTGTTCCTTCTATTGTCTTATGTTGCACACTTGGTCTTTGAGTTGCTCCTTCTATTGTCTTATGTTGTACACTTGGTCTTTGAGTTGCTCCTTCTATTGTCTTATGTTGTACACTTGGTCTTTGAGTTGTTCCTTCTATTGTCTTATGTTGTACACTTGGTCTTTGAGTTGCTCCTTCTATTGTCTTATGTTGTACACTTGGTCTTTGAGTTGTTCCTTCTATTGTCTTATGTTGCACACTTGGTCTTTGAGTTGCTCCTTCTATTGTCTAATGTTGTACACTTGGTCTTTGAGTTGCTCCTTATATTGTCTAATGTTGTACACTTGGTCTTGTGTTGCTCCTTCTATTGACTTATGTTGTACACTTGGTCTTGTGTTGCTCCTTCTATTGTCTTATGTTGTACACTTGGTCTTTGAGTTGCTCCTTCTATTGTCTTATGTTGTACACTTGGTCTTTGAGTTGTTCCTTCTATTGTCTTATGTTGTACACTTGGTCTTTGAGTTGCTCCTTCTATTGTCTTATGTTGTACACTTGGTCTTTGAGTTGCTCCTTCTATTGTCTTATGTTGTACACTTGGTCTTTGAGTTGCTCCTTCTATTGTCTTATGTTGTACACTTGGTCTTTGAGTTGCTCCTTCTATTGTCTTATGTTGTACACTTGGTCTTGTGTTGCTCCTTCTATTGTCTTATGTTGTACACTTGGTGTTTGAGTTGTTCCTTCTATTGTCTTATGTTGTACACTTGGTCTTTGAGTTGCTCCTTCTATTGTCTTATGTTGTACACTTGGTCTTTGAGTTGTTCCTTCTATTGTCTTATGTTGTACACTTGGTCTTTGAGTTGCTCCTTCTATTGTCTTATGTTGTACACTTGGTCTTTGAGTTGTTCCTTCTATTGTCTTATGTTGTACACTTGGTCTTTGAGTTGCTCCTTCTATTGTCTTATGTTGTATACTTGGTCTTTGAGTTGCTCCTTCTATTGTCTTATGTTGTACACTTGGTCTTTGAGTTGCTCCTTCCATTGTCTTATGTTGTACACTTGGTCTTTGAGTTGCTCCTTCCATTGTCTTATGTTGTACACTTGGTCTTGTGTATGAAAGTTTTTTTGTCTCCAAGAATAAAATGTCATGAACCATTTAGTATCAGGCCTATGTTGTTTGAGTTGCTCCTTGTATTGTCTTATGTTGTACACTTGGTCTTTGAGTTGTTCCTTCTATTGTCTTATGTTGTACAGTTGGTCTTGTGTATGAAAGTTTTTTTGTCTCCAAGAATAAAATGTCATGAACCATTTAGTATCAGGCCTATGTTGTTTGAGTTGCTCCTTGTATTGTCTTATGTTGTACACTTGGTCTTGTGTATGAAAGTTTTTTTGTCTCCAAGAATAAAATGTCATGAACCATTTAGTATCAGGCCTAATTTCTTTGAGTTGTTCCTTCTATTGTCTTATGTTGTACAGTTGGTCTTGTGTATGAAAGTTTTTTTGTCTCCAAGAATAAAATGTCATGAACCATTTAGTATCAGGCCTATGTTGTTTGAGTTGCTCCTTGTATTGTCTTATGTTGTACACTTGGTCTTGTGTATGAAAGTTTTTTTGTCTCCAAGAATAAAATGTCATGAACCATTTAGTATCAGGCCTAATTTCTTTGAGTTGTTCCTTCTATTGTCTTATGTTGTACACTTGGTCTTGTGTATGAAAGTTTTTTTGTCTCCAAGAATAAAATGTCATGAACCATTTAGTATCAGGCCTATGTTGTTTGAGTTGCTCCTTGTATTGTCTTATGTTGTACACTTGATCTTGTGTATGAAAGTTTTTTTGTCTCCAAGAATAAAATGTCATGAACCATTTAGTATCAGGCCTAAGTTCTTTGAGTTGCTCCTTCTATTGTCTTATGTCTTGTGCTCCAGGCAGAGAGAGACAGGATGCTGAAGCAGCAGCAGATGGAGCAAGATGAAAATCTGGCCAGGGAGCTGGAGCGTGTCAAGTTTGAGCAGCTGAGGGATGAGAAGATGAGACAGCAGATTAGAGAAACCAGGTGTGTGAAGCCCTGATTGGTTATCTCATACTGACCAATCATAATACTCTTATTGTTGTGATTTGTGGGAGGGCGTGGCCTAGCGATAGAGGGCTAGACTGATAACCTAAAAGTCTTGATTTTGAATCTGGTTTCAAGTCAGTGGAACGTCTTTGACTCCTCCTAGCTCTGATGGGTTACCTAACTCACGTTAGGGAAAGTAAAGGGTGGCTGGGCATAGCTCTGACCGCATTATCCCTTCATATGCCAAAAAACATGAACTCAACTTCATCTGCCTACTGGATTGCTAGATCTAAAGAGAAATCTTTACCATTGGAGTGATTTAGGTTTAGTTATTTAAGAATTACATTTACTAAAAAAAGTATCATTAAACTTAAAATTATAACCTTAAAAAATACTTGTCATTAAAATAATAAAAGATAGTTTATAGCACCACAAATTGTAACTTATTGCAAAATAAAATATTCAATTTGTACTTGTTCAGTTGCCAACTTTTTAGTGATCTGTGGGGATTAGCCTATTTGAAGGGAAGACAAATTAGGTCCTATTCTTATGTGAGAAGAGATGTTTGCTTTATGTTATTTAAAGTCATAACTAAATTTAATTTTCACAATTTAAAAACTCAAAGTTAGGGTAGATCAAATATAAACCATAATTATTAAGAATTATGTTATAGTAGTACATTTTTTTTTACATGCAATGATGTACCTGTGTAGTTTGCCTTGCTTATTTTGAAAATGTATATATCATTTAAGCTTAGAACTTCGGGAACTAGAAGGAAAACTTCGGGCTGCCTACATGAACAAGGAGAGGGCTGCTCAGATGGCAGAGAAAGAAGCTCTGAAATATGATGATATGGTAGGAAGAAAAAAAAAATTGTTTTTTATTTTTCTCTCAATATTTTCATATATAATTTTCAAAAGGAATATTTTTGTTACTTCCCTTTGTATCACAATACCCTGTTCATTAAAATCAAAATTTTATTACTGCTGATTTGTCTATTAATTAGATTTAATTCATAACTACTTTTTGTACAGAAACGTGACTCAGAAATAGCTAGACAAATGAAGGAACAGAATGAGAGGGCAGAGGAAGCAGAACATCAAAGGGAGCTTCTTAGATACAAAGAGATGGTAAGATATGCATATTTGTTTTTATTTAATTATCTTTCTTTATTTAAAAAAACATAATCCAGATAAAGGGGGATATTTTTGTGTAATTATTTTTAGCTGGCTTTTGTTATTTTCTTCTACTGTGTTTGTTTTTATTAATGGGGTTATGGGGATTACATCAAATATAATTTGTTTCATGCTTAATACAAATCTGCTGCTTGTTAAAAAAATTATTTTTTTACATTATTTTTTTCATTGTTATTTAGAATTTTTTAATACATTTTTACAAATATGAATAAAATGTTTAGGTCCAAATACAGGTCCAAATAATCCATTAAATCTGTTGCTGATGGTGAAGTGTTTCTGTTTTCAGCAACATGTCTAGCCAGATTTACTTCCACTAGCTCTATCTTTTGCCCATCAGATTTTTTTGGACCCAGTGCAAACCCCAGCATAACATGAATTTATTGTGCTAGAGTCCACAGGATGTCTTTGAGTCCAAATAATATTAATTTTATAATTAACATTATATGGACTCAAAGACATCCTGTGGACTCTAGCACAATAAAATATTATAAACCCATATAAACCAGTGTACTTATTTATATCTTGGACGTTCTATAAATGAGCTGTGAAGCAGCTGGTAATATTATAAACCCATATAAAACAGTGTATTTATTTATCCTTAGGTGCGCTATCAACAAGAGTTGGAGCGACAGCTGGAAGAGCAGGAAGCCCAGAAACAACAAGCTTATGAGGAGTTCCTCAAGGAGAAACTCATGATTGATGAAATTGTTCGCAAGATTTACGAAGAGGATCAGAAGTTGGACATGATTTTTTTTTCCCCTATTCTTCTTTCCTATCAACATTTTTTTTTAAATTATACTTTTTAGCAATCTATTGTTATCACTTTTAGTGTTTAGGGAAGTTGATTCTAGTTGTTCTAACAGAGCTGTTAAATAAGGTTTGTCGTTAGTTGCTCAAAGGTTAGAACTTTTAGTTTCGCTTTGTACACTAGTTCAGTAAGTTTTTCTAAATGTAGGTAGTTATATTGAGCTAGCCTAATCAGGACCGGTTTTGAAAATCATAATCATTAACATGGTTTCAGTTATAGATTAGCTTTTATTATAGATTTTTTTTATTAATAATTATTTTATAATCAGTAATTTTTAAAAATTGAAAATGTTTAATTAAGCTTAATTCCTAGTTTAGTCCACTAAACCTTTAGGTACGTCATTGCTTGTTGTAAAGCATTTAATATATAATTATTTCTTTTGGCTCCAGGGAAATAGAGAGACAGATGATGAAAAGAAAAGTCACCCAGCAATACATTGAAGAGTTCCAAAAGGCTAGGGAAGCCTGGAAGGTGCAGGAGAAGAAGAAGATGGATGAAGAGAATCAGAGAATTCTCAGGTTTGCCAAAGAGATGCAGGAGAGGGAAGACTACGTCAAGTCTCAGAAGAAAGAGAAGGATGTTGCAATGGGCAAAGTACAGGAAGCAGTAAGTATGAACTTGATTTTCCCTATGTTGTCACTAAACTAGAGGCCATATTGCAGGTGATTGTAAACAACATACAGCATTATCTAAGGAAAATAACTCTTATTATTAGCAAAAGGATAAAACCTTCACAATTGATTACCTAAGTTCTAATCAGATTCCCCAGTACAAAATTAAGAATTATTAGCTTTCCAAATAGATGATTGATTTTACAAAATATTTTGTAATTTGACAATAGAGAAAGATTTTTTTGTTATGCGCTACTTTATGTTTTCATTTATGTAAAAGGTTCCTTTTTGTTTAGATTCTTACCTGGGTTTAAAAATAATTTAAAATAATTATTAAAGCTATTACATTTTTTAAAAATTCTTATGCTGCTAATAAATCATCAGTTATGTCAAACGGATAATTGAAAATACAGTAACATTAAAATGAAGTATACTGCACCAGTGCAGTCAAGTATTGTTGTCATTGAAATATTCCATTATTTTTTACCAGTTAGCCCAGGAGATTGCCAGGAAAGAAGCAGAGCGAGCAGAAATGGAGAGGATCAGGCTGGAACTGGTTATTGAAGAGACAGAAGAAAGGGAAAGGCAAAGGGAGATGGTAAATCTTTTTCTTTTGAAAACTCACACTAATTACCTTAAAGACAAAAGCATTTTTTTTTCTTTTTTTTTCAGTAAATAATGAAGTTATACTAAAACGCAAAAAGTACAATTATTTTTGCTTAGAAATAAACAGTTAACATATTTGACTTAAAAAGCCAATAGGACAAAAAAATTCTTCTTAAAAACAATGAAATTAATATATTAGCGAGAAACCCACAAGCAGACTGCAATTTGTTTTTTAACATTAAACATAAAATATGTGTTTCCGATTTAATGTGTTAAGCACTCAAGCAGTATTTGATTTCCCACACTGAAGTTCTAAAAACATGTTGTACTTCCCTAACAGGCTGACATTGAGCGACAGATCAGACAGAAGATTGACCTCCAAGTCACACACGCCCAACAGATGCAGTTCAAGGCACTTAGAATGGAGGCTGAAAAAGAAGAAGAGGAGGAGTTTAAGAAACAGGTCTGTTGTTCACTAAGTCAGTAGGATGTCACTTTGCTCAACAATTGTTTGTGTACTTGTGTTGAGTCAGTAAAAGTAAAATAAAAGCAGCAGGGCATCGAGCAGACCACACTTTCTATGCTGATATCAGAGAAAGAGATAAATTCTTCATACGTCACATAAACTGAATGGATATTTTACTGTTACTTAACTCACTGAATACATGCATACATACATATTTATATTTTTTTTAAACATATATATATATATATATAAACATGCGAGCCGACCCGCGGCATATCATACGCCGCTATTTAGTTGTTTTATTTTCTACTTTTCAGTAATTCATAATTTGTGAATTCGACAGTACCAATGCTGCCACTGAAAATATTTGCTTTAAAACACTACCAGTAGGTTGTTCAGAACGATACTACCCCCACCCTCCTTTCCCCCAACCCTACCCTACAACCCCCCCCCCTCCCCCCGTGAAAGCAGCCTCCTCTTCGCTACCTCCCCTAAGTTTAAAATCGTTTCTAAATAAATTATCTGCCCCTAATAGCCGTCACTAAACCCGGCTCTACGATTATAAACATTTAGCGTGAACCACAGCTCACCAGACCATGTAGGGGTGGGGTGGTAGAGAGCGCGTTTACAGCTTGTTTTCTAGCGTCTCCAAGAAGAGAATTTTATATATATATATATATATATATATATATATATATATATAAATATATACATATAAATATATTTATTGATAGTTTAGCAGATAGATATAATACATTTGTGAATAATTCTAATCCTACTAACTTAAAATCAAATGCTTTGTTTTTATGATTGAAGTTTTTAAATTATGACAGATGTTGGCCAAGTTTGCTGAAGATGACCGCATAGAACAAATGAACGCCCAGCGTCGCCGCATGAAGCAGCTGGAGCACCAGAGGGCGGTGGAGCAGCTGCTGGAGGACAGGAGGACTCAGTTTGCCCGCGAGAGGGAGGCGGAGGCTGAGGCCAGGCTGGAGGAGGCCAAACTTGAGCACATCCGCAAACAGATCATTGAGGAGGAGAGGCAGAAGTTGTTGAAAGAGCATGCTAAAAAATTGATAGGATATTTGCCGAGGGTAAGTTGAGTTACACAGAGAGTCATATGGTTGTTCAAAAAGTTATTTATTTATACTAATGTAGATCTGGTTAGCGAAATATGAAAAAGATATTTGCCAAGAGTAAGGAGAGTTACACAGACATGTCTAGAGTCATGTGGTTGTTTAAAAAAATATTTTTACTATTGTAAATCTGGTTGCCAAAATTTGAATAAGATATTTGCATAGAGTAATTAAAAGTCACACATTCAGACCTATTTAGGATTATGCCTATTGTATGTTATTTTTTTTAACATTTTAGTTTAACATGTACATTTTAAAAAAAAAACTAGGAACGTGTTTGCTAAGTTTAGTTGAATATTTTCACACTATTTACCTTTACATTTATTAAAATTAGAATTTTAAAAGATAAAACTAATATTTTCAGTCTTGTTACATTTTTTGTTAACATTTGTTTTGTTAAATGCCCAACTAATTCAAAATTGTAACTCACAATTTTTTTTCCATTTCTAGGGTGTGATAAGAGATGTGAAAGATCTTGAAATGCTGGGACCAGAATTCAAAGAAGCTTATTCACAGCGACAGATAGATCCCTTTGATGATACTGCCTGGTCAAAATAAATAAAGGGAAATAATAGAATACCTTATCTCAAATTTTGGAGTGATTGGTGGGAAATGTTCATATTAAGTATTTTAAAAAGTAAATGCAAACACGTTTTTTCAAGGTCGTGTAATGTTGATTTAAGTATTATTAGTTATCTATAATATAAAATCAAATTGTTTTTACAGTGCCAAGGAAACCTATTGTGAATTTGTTTTGCATATTTTCCCTTTTTGACACCTTAAATTATGACAGAATTTCGTCTGCATTAATATGTGATATATAAAAAATGAATATGAGATAATGAATCTGTTGCTTACAAATTTTTAAATATATAATTCTTATACGTTTTGTACATAGATAGACTTAATTTTTTAGACATTCAGTTTTATATAATTTTTATTGTTTTGTAAAAACTACGATTGGTTTTTGTTACCACTTGAAATTGGTTTATTGAATAAAAGTAGCAAATATTTTGCCCTATATTTAGGAAATTGTTTTGAAGGTGTAGGACTACAGAAGTTTAAAAAAATATTTGTTTCCTACCATAAAAATAAAAATTGGTTATTATTCAAAAAAGAAAATTAATTTATAATGCTACTATTTTTTACATGAACTTATAGGACTTGTTTGGTTCTATTTATTTATTTTTTTAGAGTGTGTGTAAATATTAGAATGGATCTGAATGAAAAAGCTCACAGCTGAATCACATTTGTGTACATTATGAGGGTGATATGTTTCATTCTGAAGTTTATCACTGAACAAATAAACATTGACAAAACCTATTGGTGTTGGCTCATTTATTTGTAAACATTACACTAATGTCTTTAAATTATACAACAAACTTTCTATTTATTATCTTAAAAATTGTGTGTTTTATATTTAGCACTAGATCTACCAGATCTAATAACATTTGTTTCTATTTTCTATTGAGAAAATATGTCAATAATTTGAAAATTTATACATAATATGATAACAATGGGTTTTATTGTTTATTCTTTACAAATATCTTGAAATATATTTATGAGAAATTTTCACACATTTTGTGAGTCTAAAAACTGATTTTCAAATTATTTTTACATGGAGTACTCTACAAAGTCAAGGGAGACTACCTGTTTTGATTACCGTAGAATTGTCTTAAAGTTATTCTGGCCCTTGGTGAACTAAGGTATGTAATCGATCATAATAACAGTAGAACTAAATATCCAGTTTTTAAACAATTTTATTTAAAATGAATTTTATCATTAATATCTTGTATCCATATGCATTAATCTGCTTTTACTTATAACACTTTAGTTGGTTGTGTATATCAATTCTGCTCGCTGTTTCAATGTAAGTTGATGAACACGTCCAAATTTTCAAAAATGCATTTTGTAAATAAAATAAAATACCTGGTCATTTCACTTGTCTGGGTGGCGCTTCCATTAAATACATCATTATAGATCTAGATGGTTTTGTTTCTTTTGTTTTTTTTTTTTTTTTTTTTTTTTACTGAAACGGTTTATTCACTTAAATAATAAAGTGTTTTAAAGTTCCCGAGAAAATGAGAGTTTCTTCTCTCAGTCATCGAAATTATCAATGAAAACTACACAAACATTTGGGGTTTATTTTTTTTTTTTTATTTTTTTAAAGGCCTAAAGCTGGTTCCGATTAGTCTGCTAAAGTTGTCGCATTGTTATATTTTATTTCATTAACAGAATCCACTCCGCTGGGCTAGAACGTAAAACGGCTAATCGATATATCTGATCAATAAATCAATAGTCTAAATGTGAGCTTGGGCTATCTTTCCTCTGCTCTACTCCCAGTCACTAAAGGATAGTGTTTTGTGGTGTTTTTGTTTGAGCCACGATTACTGTCTTGAACAAGGGAATTTCCCGTTTGATGTGCGTGACCTCAATGTTATTTATAGCATTGGCATCAGGAATGAGTATTTTACTTTTGCTACTAAAATAGCTATCACAGTGTTTACTTTATGTATTGGTAGGGTTTTTTTAAAGGGATATAGATCTATTATTGTTTTACATTGTATTTGTTTATTTACAACCGGTTTAGGTGCAACATTGGAACACGGAATCAAATTTCACCAGCTTAAATATAGAAACTCGCGAGCGGACCAATAATAATTTAGAAAGTGCATGACGTCACAAACACTGGCGTACGTGACGACGACGGCGTCCCTCGTTTCATGCGCGCACCTATAAAAAGAATTAGGGAAGCACGCGGACGTATCAGCGGCTGTTTCGTCCAAGGAAAAAAGTAGTTGATAAAATCATTGGTGAGATAAGGTCCAAAAGATATAATAAATTATAGATTTTCAGTGGAAGGTGACCTTAGTTATAGCTACTACAAGCCAGAAGGGTGTCAATCTTTTTTTCAATCTTCAACTTTGCTGTTAAGCTTAATTTTCGGATTAACGACAACTCAAATAATAAAAGAGCGCATATTTAAATTTTAATTTGTTGGGATTTGAATTAGATCTACGTCTGTTTGGTAAGTTGCATATGGTAGATTGAATAAAATATGCTTGTTTAAAGTGGCAGTGCAACGTTTTACCTACAAGTTGAGTAACACTCAATTATAGGTGTACAGTACTTAACCCTTTTGCTAATTATTTTTTTAACTGTTTTTTCGACTAGAATAGCAATGTTTAATAATTCTATTCGCACACTTTTAAAATTATTTTTAATTTAATTTTGCTGTAATGATTTTTTAATAATTAAAAAAGCCATTATTTAAAATATAGCCTATATACAACATGTTATTAAAGTCCATGATGATATTGGCATAAGAAGGGCAGCTATGGGCGCTCAAGGGGAATCCACTCTGTCATTCATGGCTAGGTTAGCAGTTAGCTGACGTTATTATATACAACGACATGGTCCCAGAGGCGTAGCTGGGGGGGGGGGGGGGGCATATGTCCCCGGGCGCTGACCTTAGGGGGGCGCCAAATTGAAAGTTTGAGGGGGGGGGGTGCAAATGAAAAGTTCGAGGGGGGGTGCAAATTGTAAGTTTGAGGGAGGGGGGGTGCACATGAAAAGTTCGAAGGGGGTGCAAATCGAAAGTTTGTCCCCGGGCGCCGGGAAGGGTCGCTACGCCTCTGCATGGTCCACATACTTAAATTCTATAAATCTTTGAAATAGATTCTTTTTTTTCACTTAGCTAGTCATTTATACAAACCCCACTCCCTCCTGTTTTATCTGTGTGCATTCTTCGAGCGTGTGACATCTTTTTTTAATTGATTCAAGGACAATCTAAGATTCAAATCCTGTTTAAAACAACTTATAAATAATCTCGCTCTATTATTTCTTTAATACCAAGTACAATCCCGTCTCCGTCTTTTGATTGTCCCCAATGTTATTGTTCTAAACTAGATGTTATAGTACAATCAATAGCAACTGTTCGTGTATCCTGGTTGATTCACAGCGCGTACGTGCATTCTGGCAGTTCGAGTTTTTAACTTGTTCCTGTGACTAAAGTACGAGCGATTTGATCAGCGATGTATGACGTTTTTCTATTGGTTGTGCTGGAGTCGCTTGAAGTGGGTTTTGGTTGTCAAGTGGTATCGTTTTATCGTCCTGTGTTGTGTGTTTTACTGTATCAGAGTATTTATTTGTTTAATCATTTATGTATTTACACATTAATTGTTTCTTTGTGATGTCTCGCTTAAACGTTTCTATTTCTTGTTACTTTTTTCTCTGCTTAAAAAATATTTTTCTCCCTTTTCCCCTATTTAAATCCGAAATTTGATGGGATTATCCTGAGTATAAAAAAAAAATCTGCGTTAGACCAGGTTTAATATTATTCTGATATTCGAATCGGTGTTATCGCTAATTACTTATTCAACCTAGGCTTAACACAGTTATATTTTTAGCACTAACCCACGAACTATAGTCAGTTGAGCAAAAAGAAACGAAACGAAAAAAAAAAACCACGATCATTCGAACGACTAAAACCTGCTAATCAAGTTACTCGGGCGGTCCTGTGTTGACTTCCTGAATGCCGCGCGCCTTCCAAATAGAAAAATCAAAGTACACATTACTCATTGGGAAAGCGAGGGTGCTTTTTGTCATAGTGACATTGTGCGGGTTAGATCAACTTTAACCCCCCATGTCTTTTTTCTGTGTCGCTCTCTAAAGAAACGCGACGGTAGCTCGCGGGCTAGACGCTAAAGGGACGTTAAGATCAACGCTGGGGGAAGCTAAACGTTACGTTTGAATGGAATTAAAACGGGTGGTTATTTATAGACTGAAAAAAACCTTGATCTACCTACCTCCTACCTTCTCCGGGTGACCTTGTTAAATAATCACAGGGGCGAGGGAAAGTGCATTTCTAAATAAGAAAAAAAAAAAAAAAATATATATATATATATATATATATATATATATATATATATATATATATATATATATATATATATATATATATATATATATATATATATATATATATATATATGCCCTATATAGGCCGATATACGCATATATTTATACATATATATACAGTATATATAGAGATACATAGACTATCCGTGCTTATTTTCGTCGCCCTTGCCCTATCCCTCCCCTTGTATTTAATTAAGCCTTGTATTTCACACCCAACGAATAATCTCAAATCCTGCTGGTTAGGGTTCAACATTGGAAGTCCATTGGTTTCTGAAACATTTTCATTAGAGGCTAATGTTTGTGACTGATCTTACCACAACAGAGATTAGGTCATTTAAGCTTCCTTTTTTGCAGCTCATTTTTTTTTCTAAAAGAAATTATTTGATCAATCCCGCTTGACACAACTCCGTAAATAATCAATAGTTCCTGCTTACATCTATGTAATCTACCAGTCCGGCTTACATCTGTGTTCTGTCTGTATTCTATAATTAGGAATGCCCCCCCCCCCCACACACACACACACCTCCCATGGTAAATACGTTTAAGTCTCAGTATTTTGCCATATTTACCTTTCACTGACTGTGATGAAAATAATTAAAAATATATTCGATAGCCTCTTAATTTTCTAAAACAATGGTCTTCCAATTACAACAATACAAAAACTTTTTAAAAAGAATAGCAGGTTTTGATTATATTTTTAAAAATATTATTATCAATAATAATTAAATATATTACTGTCGCCTGTTAAAATACATTTCAATAATCGATTCTTAATGACATGGATACCGTGTTATTTAAATAATTGACATGACTCTTACTAAAACTGCTAAAACAATGTTGTGTTATTTTAAACCCAGCTAAACAAAGACCTGTAGATAAAGAACCAATGTACCATTGTTTAAAGTCACTTCTTGTGAACATGCGCCTAGCCAGGTCCAAATCGATGCCAAAACCGGAAATGTTCGGCTCCTCCGACCTTGGTACAGCGACCTTGTAATCACGAAGCCAATGTCACACAATGTATATTTTGGTCCCTGCACTCGTTCGTTGCCAATAATATCCAATACAAGGCTAGGGGTTATTTCCCCTGTAGAGTTTTCTCCCCTTATTATGCCCCGTCGTTGGTATTTTTATTTTTTTACCTCGCTGACGAAATGCAGGTCTTGACGCGTGGCACGTGATGCATGCTGAGTAGAGCGTACCTACAGCTGGACTTGCTCACCCTCAATGACCTTCCGTTGTCTTTGTTTACTTATCCTACACGTGGTGTAAATATTATTGTCACATGATCAAAACAAATAGAAAAACCTGGTATACATGTTTGGATTAATATTTCTTTTCATTTGTTGATTTTTCATTTTGAATGCAAAATTGACTTTATTTAATGAGAGGAAAATAAAT